CTTTTTTCTAATAGGGCGAAATTATGTTTTGATGTGCTGCTTAGATTTATTGCCATTTGATTCTATAAGCAATAATGGGATGACAGATTTTCTAAAGGCTTAAAATTTAAATAAAATGATTATTAAAAAATAAATTGCCTAAAAAAATAGAAATATAAGATAAATGATTCCTCATCAGAATTGCCTAATAGGACAACTATTAGGCTGCATTCATAGTGGAGATGGATCCGTTTTTACATCCGTTCCGTCAAAAGTCAAACTCATTAAAAATGATATAAATGTTCATAGACTATAAAAAAATTGTAAGTAACGTTATAACGCTCTATAAGATTAGCCGGATCAAAAAGTCAAAATGTTTTGACTTCAAAATTTGCCGGATCCGTTTTTAAGACGGAAGGTATCGGAACGGACGCACTATGAACATATATATCATTTTTAATGAGATTGACTTTTGACGGAACGGATGTAAAAATCGGATCCATCTCCACTATGAATGCAGCCTTAGTCGGGCAGCACTTGATGATGTATATTGTTCTATAAAGGCACATGTTTTAAACCTGATTGATGCTGGTCCAAAATTCTGTTCCATTACTTTTGATTTATGGACCGATCATTTCAAGCGGCGAAATTATATTACATTTAGTCTTCATCATTTAGATGAAAATTTTGATTTAAAATATTTTACCCTGGCAACCCGAAATGTGACTCAAAAGCATACTGGGGAAACCATATTATCGGAGATTGATGGTATCGAAGAGGAGTTTCATTTAAAAGCCTAAATAATACAAATGGTAACTGATGCAGGGGCAAATGTCAAAAGAAGCGTCAGATTGGGGGATTATGAGCATCATTTACGCTTAGGCCATGGACTACATAATATGGTTACAGTTGATGGCATAAAAAAAGTTGCCAGAATTGATAATCTCCTTAAAAAAATTAGAGAAATTATTTCAGCCCTCAGATATCGAGTAGCTGATTTGGAATGTGAAATTGAAGATGAGCATCGTAAATGTCTCCAGTCAATTTATGAGACAGGTCATATCTTGGATATTGATGATTCTGATCCATACCTTGATGACCATTTTGATAACGAAGCGGATAATAGAAATTTCATCACACCAACCAATCTATATAATACAAAAACGTTAAAATTAAATTACCCTACCCGCTGGCACAGCATATTAATTATACTAGAAAGTGTTCGTAGCGTGAACAAAAATCCTATTAATAATGTTTTGAATAAAATAGGAAAACAATGTTTAAAACTTTTTAATAATGAATAGGATATGATTGACGAGCTTTATGCCGTATTAATTCCATTTCGAGAGTCGGTGGAATTTCTTTCCTCCCAAAAGGGATCGACTTAGGGTTATTATTTCGCAGTGAAATTGAAACCCACATACAGATCAATATATCTGATTCCTCAGATATTATTTGTTTAAAAGAAAATATGCAAAAAAAGCTTGACCATAGGTTTCCCATTATTGAACTTCAAGTTATTTTATATTTTTATTAATAAAATTATATTTTGAACATTAGATATTAGCGACTCTCCTTGATCCCAGATTTCAAAATCTGAAAATTGTGTCAGAATATTTAAATTCAAATTCTACTACATCATTGCAATTTTTAACAAGACATTTAAAACTTGTAGAAAATAATAAAAATGCACAAAGTGAAATCCAAGTTGAAGATAATGGGGAGACTTCCAGTTCTTATATCGCCAAAATAGCTCGTAAACATTCTATTCCAGGCAGTGATTATAACAATATAAGTAATTTAGAACAAGAATGCCATATTTTACTAAGCCAAAATAATAGCCCAGAAGAGGATGCATTAACCTTTTGGAAGAAAAAGCAACTGGAACTTCCTAGGCTTGCTAATTTAGCTAGGAAGGTTCTTTGTATACCTGCAACCAGTACACCCAGCGAAAGAATTTATTCCATTGCTGGATTAATACTCAATGCAAAAAGGACTTCTTCATGTCCCACCAATCTTGATAAAATTCTATTTATTTATGATAATTATAATTTAGCTAAATCTGAATTCTGATTTATTATATTTCTTACTTAATATTTTGTTTGCATTCCAAATATATATTTGTTATAATAAAAATCAATAGAATATTACTAATATGTGTTGTTTATGTGACTCTGATCTGAGTGAAAATGCAATTCCTTAGTCTATTTCTGAGAATGAGAAAATACATGAATTTAAATTGAATTGAGACAGGAAATAATTTAAGAAATAAACTATGTTAACAATGTGTTAGAAAAGAGCGCTAAATTATAAAAAAATGTAATACATTGATTTATAAATTAAATTTATTAAAAAAAATTTTTTAAATAAATATCGCGCCACCGCCACCGACAATTTAGTAGGCGGCGGTAAAATCGGCGCGCCGCCGAACGCCGATAAAAAATTTAAAAAAAACCGCCGCCGTCAATTGAGACATCGGCGCACAGGTCTAGCTGTAGAACGTTTTATTACTCTAGGGAGGCTTATTTTTGAAGGGAAACAAACGCCCTAATTTAAATGGAAATTTGTGAATAGTTTATTATTAAAGGCAAATAAAAATTTACTAAACCCAAATTTTTTAAAAATAGTCAGTGCATATATATATATGTGATATTCTGATATTTTATGTCGGTGTAAATATATTTTATTCTCCGGATTTATTACAGTTCAATTATATATTTATATAAATAAATTGTATATTACTTTTAAATATCATTGATTTTTAAATCATAATTTGCGTTATATATATGATGTGTAAAGTAACTTATAATGTAACTAGTTACTTTTTAAATATAACGGTAACTAGTTGCATTTAAACAGATGTAACTAGTAAATAGTTACCTTTTCATCAATGTAACTTGTTAAGTTTCAAAAGTGACTCTTAAAAACACTAGTTGCGACGTATATATTTCAAAAATTATTATCGCCGTAAAGAAACAGCTGTAATATCGATAGTGCATAATACCGAACCGCTTGAACAAAACGCGTTAATATAAATGAGGCCTATATGAGATATAGTATATAAAAATTTACTATCCTCAAAATAAAAAATTAACTTGTCTCTGGATGTAGCTTTGATATATTTATAATTTTGTAGCGGTATAAAAGTAGTAAATAGAGTTGTGGTATCTTTGGAAAATGTAATACCAAAATAATATAGATTGGTTACGGGGAAATTGAAAAGAATTACAATACATACTTTTTTACCCTCAAGGGCTAAAGTTATACAATTTTTTGGTAAATTAATATTCTAAATACGCTTTTTATACTTGGAAATAGAAAAGTGAATCGTCCATCTCATATGAATTATATATAAATTATAAGAACTTTTTTTTAAATGTGAAATTTTTTTAAAAATTAAATGTGCTTATTGTATTGTTTATTCGTAAATTTTTCTACGCACTTTCTTAAATAGAAGAAGAAATTTTTGAGATGATTTCATAGAAATAGAAAATTAAGAAAGGGTTTAATCAATTTTAAAGAAATAGAAACCAGCATTCTTCTAGACATCAATATAAATTATGAAAACGCTACATATATCTTAATTATATTTCCCAGATTTACTTTTTAGTGTATTAAATAATTCACGGTCATGATAAACCCTTCATAATTTGCAGAATTTGATGGAAGGGGGGGGGGGGGGTCATGCATTCACTAACAATATAATAGTCAAACATGTGGCCACCCTATTAATTAATTTATTACTGATTTTATGGAGTTAGAGAGCCTATTAAGATAGCTCTTATTGAAATGGGAAAGTGAAAAACTTCTCTTCAGGCGAATACGCCCTATTGAACTTGTTATATTTGCATTAGAATAAATCCTCAGATAATTTAATTATCCTTGAATTATATGGAACCTCTTTCTAAAAAATGATTTTAATTTAGTTGACACTATAAAAATGGCAGTAAGTTAAGAGCTTAAAGAAACTAGTCAAATGTTGATGAGAAATTTTATAAATTATGTGATTGCTCAGTTCAAAACTTTGTTGATATTTACATATCTCAATTCGCAATATGACAAGTCCATTGTTCAAATATTATTGTAGGATCAGTATAATAATATGATAAAATAAATCTCTTTATCCCACCTTTTTTAGTGTTCTTTAAAACTTTGATTTAGTCGATATAATATGCCTCTAGATTTCGCCAAAGGCTGGCTAAACCATTCTGCATTTGGAGAAATTTTATAAGTAATATAATTTACGTAAAATATTAATTTGTCGGGTTTAAAATCGGCAAATTGAGGGTTTTAACACTACCCATTTGGATAATTTTTAAATCAAATAAATCATCAAGCATTCCTTACAAATCTAAGAGTTATTTCTTAACATATTTGAATTATTATACCACTATATCATAGCACTTACAAAAATTAAGTTTAATTGAGAAAGATTTTTCGTAATAATCATAATAATCTTTACCTCAGAAAATAAATTTGGAAAGGCCATTTTATATATATGCAGGTATTTTTACACCAAATACTTGTAATCATTGAAAAATTTACTCAATTTTCACGGATCGCATATATTTCTTTCGCAAATAAATACCTTACTCTTTTATGTAATGCAATATTTTTAAAATATATTTGTGTATTAATTCATATATTCGACATTTGAATTTTTAAATATAATTTATATATTAGAATTTGGGTCATTTTTCCTAATCAATAATTCATATAAATTTATATACAAATGATATTTTTGTAAAGAAATAATTTCAAATGCCAGTATATAGTAATATTTTACAACCGCATTTTGATTTCATATTAGATATTAGAAATTGCCAATTTTTTTAGACACTAGTCCTAATAAATTTACAAAATTTTAGATGTTTATTAACATTTTTAGAATATTTTAAAAATTGTTACCCTCCAAATGAACATGTCTGATTATGCATTTTAGAATATATAGTTGGAAAAAAAGCTATAATTTTTCATTAATAAACATAGTGAATATTTACATTTTTAACATATTGGCCTATATTATTTTAGTAAATAAATATATTTATTTATCTACAAACAAAAAATGTATCTATCTGCAAACAAAAAATGTGACATTTTTTATACAAACCGAACATTTGACATCACAGCACCACTGGAACTTGCAATGGCAACGTTGTTTAAGTGTAATAACCTTTTTCTCGTCACCACGCCCGCAACATAAATTGCGACAGACAGAAGAACCTCCATTTAAATTATTTTTATGCGGGCTGTCATTATCGTATATTGAGGATGCAAGAAAGTAAAACATTGTTAAATCACTCATGTCGCCGCCATGGAATGATATTATATTATCCAGCTCATCAAAATTATTATCATCGTCCAAATCAGAATTTGAGGGAAGAGATGATTGAAATGCCTGTTGATTATTATGAAGGTCATGAGGATATTGAGAATTAAAATCAATGCCACATATTCTACCTTTAGTCCCGCTAAAGCCTATTCTCGGATCGGTTATACAAAAATCAGGAGATTTTTTTAAATAAACGAGGTCTGATGCTGTTGGAACTTTTATATCGTATTTCGAATTATAATAGTATCCTTGTGATTTTGCTCTCATCCCTTTGGGACTTAAGGAAACTTGTAAACTGCTCAGACCATTGAGCCGCACTCTTGTAGCATTATCGTATTTTTCTTTAAGCAATCGCCCAATTTTTCTAAATGGTCCTAATTGTGGCCAACACGTTTTAGTACTACAAGCCCCTGATACCCCATGACATTTGCAATTTATTTGTGTTGTATGATAGACTGCCTAAATAAATAAAAATATTTATAGATATATGATTAAAATGCATTAAAAGTGATGTGAATAAAATATATTCAGTAGCGTCAAATATTTTTTAAATTTAACTATTAAATTAAAATGCCTCATCCTAAGCGATATTAAAAAATTATATAGGAGATATGAAAATTTTTACTTCCAAATGCTGATCAAATGCAGAGTCATTAATAAAAAAAACTATATATATTAAACAATTAAATAAATGTTTTTGTGTTAAAGCATATAATGGGACAATGTGAAAATCTTTCAGGAGCCTAGGGGAGATATCGCAATGTTCACAGAATGGTTTTTTATATATGTGCACTAAAGATCTGCAAAACCAGTCCAAAAGCCCATTAGCCCGGGAAAAGTTAAAATAAATAACGGGCCGGGCAATTCATACATTGATATTTTAGGCTTGTGCCGAATAATATATATATAAAACTAGGGAAGACCTCACAAATCTCCAATTTTTCGTAAAATTTTAATATTTAAATTTTGATACATTTTTTTTGAATATCAAGCTATTTCAATTAGATTAATACTATTTGAAAATAAATTACAATATAATTATTTCTTTGTATTTTATTGTATATATTTTTATATAGTATGTTTATTTATTTAAAAATTTTATTTACCAATTTAATATCAACAATAAATATATTAACTCTGTCATATATTGATTTACTATTCTGCGGCTATTTTTTACGAATATACATAATCATTTTAATTTATCTTAAAAAACATTGTGCTCAATATCTGTTTGACTTCACTTTATACATTTCTTTTTATCATTTACAAAATTACTTTTAGTTATATATTATTATTATCTAATTTTATCCAATAAATAGTGAGCAAATCTCTATTTGATGCTGTTTAACTAAAATACGAAATATATAAATAATATAATAAATTTTTTAAAACAAATTAAAAATTATTATTAAAAAACGAATTTAAAACCGTTCATTTAAAATACAATTAGCGATTATACTAATACTAGATCCCCAGGCCTGCAAAAAAATTTGTTTTAAGTCAATGTCTGATCCATAGTTGATAATAGAATTCCCAAGCTTCCAAGCTGATAATAATTTTGAAAAATTTTCTCTAAGCGGAGTACAATATAATTCATAAAAATATTTTCCAAGCCCAACCCCACCCATAATAATTTTAAAAAAATTTTCTCAAACCTGGCCAACGCGTAATAATTTTGAAATTTTTTTCTCAAGCCTGGAGATAGGTAAATCTCTAAAAACTATATTCATTTTTTATTCTTTTAATCCTGCTCAATCCTACTTCAGACCAAGACCAACTCACCAGGACTAATAGTGAATACTATTTTTAGAGTAAAAATATATTTAAATTAGCTTTTACCTGAGACCCATATAAATATTATGCCTAATATCTAATATAAAAAAATTTCCGACAGGTTCATGCTCATAATCATATCGAGAAAATTTTCTCAAGCCCGCCAAAGACCATAATAATTTTGGTAGTTAAGAACTGAAATAAAATATGTAAAGGTCATAATTCATTTAAAAATACAATCAGAATATGAAAGTTGCATGAGCCTTGGTTTTTTGATCAGGCCTAGCTATGTCTGCAAAAAAAAAATTTCAGGCCAATGTCTAACCCATATATAAAACTCAAAAATCTTCAAGCATCTCTATTTTAAATTTTATCCATTATACAAATTTAAATTTTGATATTTCTAATACTCTTAATGCTCACTGTATTGCAACAATTTTACTACTTTTTCTCCTAAATTTTACATACACACAAACTAAATAATTACCCTTAATAAACGGCAAAATTTTAAAAATATAGCTATTAATTAATATTTTAAATTTAATTATATTCCAGTTGGTGCATATGCGTAAAGATTACACCTTTGAAACGGGAGGTTTGAGATTCGATTCTCGTAGATAGCAAAAAATTAACATTACATAATATAGTCTCCTTAAATTTTAAATACATTAGTAAGATACGAAAACGATCGTGTTTTGATTATGGAGATTATATATATTAGATAACGGAGTATGTAAAAATAAAAAAGAAACAACTGAAAATATTAAATTTAAAAAAACAGTTAAGAGATATTTACTTGCATGCAATATGGAATCATGAATAAGTCCTCACCAAAAACACCAAAGTATTGGTGACAAGTGAGATAAAAATTACGTTAGTGATGTCTGATTTGTTTATTTTCAAGCTGCCTTATTAATTTTTGAAGCATTTCTGTCGGATCGTACAGAAAAATTGATGCATGCGAAATCCCAAGCTATTAGAAGGCCAAGGTATTAGATTGATATCATAGTATTAAATTGTTTATGATATGATCCATATAATCCAATCTAATATATATAATCTCCATAATCAAAAAATGATCGTTTTCTTATCTTCCTAATGTATTTAAAATTTAAGAGGACTATATAGTGTAATGTTATTTTTTTGCTCTCTACGAGAGTCGAACACGCCTCCCGTTTCAAAGTCGTATGTTTTAAGCATGCACCAACTTGAATATAATCAAATTTAAAATATTAATTATATATATATTAATTAATAGCTAATATTTTTAAAATTTTGCCGTTTATTACCATATTGGCTGACGGGGTTGAAGGGTAATTATTTAGTTTGTGTGTATGGTACTAAATATACTTTATTAATAAATTTTATATAAATATTAAAATTTAGGAGAGAAAGAGGTAAAATTTTTGCAATGTATACCGTGAGCATCATAATTTAAATTTGTGATGGAAATCATATTGGATAAAATTTAAAATAGAGATGCTTTAAGATTTTTGAATTTTAAATATGGGTTATACATTGGCCTGAAAATTTTTTTTTGCAGCTGCAAAAAAAATTTTGAAGCCAATGTAAAATTTTGAAGAATCTCTATTTTTAATTTTACCCAATATAATTAATTCCTAAGTGATCTGCATCGGGCCTAATTTTTCAAGCCCGGCCCGGCTCGAAATTTTTTTAAAAAGTTTTGCCGGCCCGGCCCGAACCCGAAATTTATTTTAAAAAAATTTACCGGCCCGGCTCGGCCCGAATTTATTTAAATATAGAAATTAATTTTTATAATTACTCAAAAAAAAGACATATGTTATATGGCGTTTAGTTTCAATTAATTTTATCAAAAATTTTTATTTTACATAAAAAATTCAATATAAAATTGATAAATTTAGATATATTTAAAAAAATTTCCAAGGTCCGACCCGACCCGACCCGGCCCGATTTTTTTTAAAAATTAAGCCCGGCCCGATTATTTTAAATAGAATTAGGCCCGAGCCCGGGCCTAACTTTGCAGATCTCTAATTTCTATCATAAATTTAAATTTTGATATTTCTAATACCCTTAATGCTCACGGGTTACATTGCAACAATTTTACCTCTTTTTCTCCTAAATTTTAATATAAAGCATATTTAGTACCATATACACAAACTAACTAATTACCCCTTAACCCCGTCATTCTTGATGGGTTATTAGCTAGTTATAAATAAAACACAATTCATTTATATAACGCTGTTGTAGAAAGAAATAGCGATAGAGGAGAGATAAAAGAGTTTAAATTGACATTGGGAAAAAATAACGATATTTTGCCTGTTAAATAATTTAATCTCATAATTTATGTATAATATTTTATTTTTCATATGACTACGAATTAAATTGTATAGTTAAGACAATTAAGACGTTATATATCCAACGAAATATTGAGTATCAATTTTAGAAAAATATCCAAAATTGGATAAAAGACATGACACTTAAAAAAAATGTTTAGTCAGAAAAAACAGTTGAAAGGAAGTCATCTATTTGAATAGAGCCATTCAAAAAGAACATAATTTCATTTTATTTGTGAATTTATTTGATTTAGTGAATAATATAGAAAAATAAGAATCGTTTATTAAATGTCTGAGATTTAACAAAAGCAAATTCTGTTGATATGTCCGAATCTAATTCTTGCAAAAAAATTATAAATATTTAAACACACAAGATAATAATTTTTGAATTATAATTTACAAATAATTATATCACATTAAATATATTTATAACTCACTGAATCACGGGGAAATTTTTTATAATATTTTTTTAAAATATTTTTATTTATTTATTTAAAAAAAAAAATTTTTTTTTTATAAAAAAATAATAAATATAAGATCTTCTGGATTTTGGTATAAATTTTTTGATGTAATCAGCGTCTACTTGACAGGATTTTCACTGGATGCAAAACCCCTTCAAAAACCTTTGCCTACCCTTCTAAAAAATTCCCGCCTCCTATTATTTTCACCTATTAATTTATTAATACTCTTTTCAAAGAATTTATAAAGGATAACTTAAATTAATCTATCTCTACTACCAACTATCGATATTTTGTGAATATAAAGAATTTATTTTTTAGAAAATAAATTCAATTAAAACCTCCATTATTTACAATGAATTAATTATTATGGCATTATAAGCTTGCTGAAATATCTAAACCTTTTAATTTACATTTAAAAGGATAGTTTATTTGGAAAACAATGTGTATGATTGTTTGCAATATATAGATTTGGTCGATGAATTGTATTATAATAATACTATAATAAAAGTATTAATTTTTACAGCAATAAATTTTTTCCTATTTCACAAAATTTAATAGATAACCCCCCCCCCCCCAATTTATCCTACCCCCATTAAAACAGCTTCTCCCCCCACCCCCTTATAAAAATAGAATGCAAACTGTTCCTACCCCTCCCGCTCATGTAGACGCTGGATGTAATAATAATTAAAAATTTAATTACTCAAAAGTTTTAAGAATTTTGCATACCTTTTTGGTTCAATTGGCGTAATTTTAGGTTATTTTTTTTATTAAAAAATAATAAATAAATGATCGTCTGGATTTTGGTAGAAATTTTTTAATGGAAGGGGTAAATTAAATATTGATAAATCTTAAAATTAAATATTTTTCCAAGTTATAATAATCTAAATGAAAATGGATATGATTATTACTC